TAATTAGCCTCTACTCTCCTAGTGCACTTGCAGTTCGGCCTTGGTCTCTATAACTGGAAGGCTCTAGTCTGAACTGTTTGGAAAAAAAGGCAGGCGAGGCATGGAATAGGTGGGAAGGGCCTCTCAGCACTGCCTCTTCACGGACAGCAAGACCTACCTGATTTTCAATACTTTCCAAAGCCTGTTCCCCAGAACTTCTGTCCAGTCAACCCAGGCCTCTAGAGTCTGCAAGGTCCACATATATAACTGTGGAATAGAGAAGTCTGTCAACGAACCAGCTGGCTCCCACGCAAAGCCCTGGACCCAAGGGTGCCCTCTTGAAATGAATTTGCCAAAAAGAGACTGGTTCCATTTTGTACATTAAATATATACAACTCAGATGAGCGATGCACTAAAACACAGAAACCCCTAGCACAAGACCCAGCACAGAATTCAGGAAGCAAGTATTTTAAAGATTCGGGGCTTTTTTTTTTTTTGCTTTTTTTTTTTTAATTTAATGAGCAAAGAAGGCAGTCCACTCTGGGGGTGAGAGGGAGGGAACAACTCCACTATAAATTTCGAAAGCAAAGAGTCAATTTGTTTGGCCAAGTGGCCTTCCCTCACTCACCCCAGGAAGCCATTTCTTGGCCTCTCACTATTAACCTTTCACCTCTCCCAGTAGGTGTGTGTGGTCACAGGGTAACAACAGGTTTTCCCAAAACAAATGCAGAGTCTCTGATTACTCTCCAAGTAATTGCAAAGACCTTGGCCTGAACAGGCATACCTTAGTCTCTAGAGTACCATCATTGCTCTTTAACACTTTGGAGAGGTGCCTAACAGTAGCCTTGTCCAGAGGAATTATTTTTTTTCAATTAATCTTTTTTTAAAATTATTATTAAATTTTATTAGTTTTCGTGAACATTTACAGAGATTTTGGGTTTTCATTCATTCATTGTTGTATTGTTTTCTCTACCCTCCTCCCCTGTTCATTCTTCTCCCCCCCAAGTCTGTTTTAATTGTCCAATTGCCACAGTGCTTGTCGGAGCCAGTTCTGATTAATCTCCTTTGTCAGTGTGTCCTTTGCCATTCCCTATCTCTCCTCCCTGAGAAAGACTTCACCTTGATTCATAAGGAAAAGGGGATGGCGTATTCTCTTAGCTACTTCCTGCTGAAAAGGGATGCTGTAGGTTTCAGGGTGAAGATCTTCTCTCACTTCAATTAATCTTTTGATTAAATATTCACTGTTCCTCTTTTTAGGGAAATGCTCTCTAAGATCTACTGTTTTCCTTAGAGGGAAGTTGGAAAAAGTGACAAAAAAGAAAACACAAAATTCCATTACTTCCATTAACCTCCGCTTCTCTGCTACCTAGCACGCAATGTAGAATTGCCCCACAGGGTTTCCAAGGCTAAACCCCTTAGTTGTGGTTGTTGTCACGTGTCATTCAGTGACCCTACACACACAATAGCTCTGAACACTGTCTTTTCCTGAGCCAGTCTCACCATCTCCTAACACACCTGACACATCTATCCCCATTACCACAGTTACTGACTGTGTCAATCCATCTCATCCAGGGTCTTTCTCTCCTGTACCCTTCCCTTTCACCCTTCCAATTATGGTATACATTTCCAAGGACTCCTGGCCACAGGACCAAAGTATGTAAAACAGAGCTTCAAAATCATTGCCTTCAAGAAGAAGCTTGGTTTCACCCTCTCCAGGATAGACCTGTCAGACTCTTGGCAGTCTATGGTTTGCTCAATACTCTTCTCCTGCACCCAAGTGAAAGACATCTATTCTTCTTCTATCATCCTTAGTGACTATTCAGCTCTATGATGCAAGTAATTGCAAAGATCATGGCCTGAATCAGGCACACCTTAGTTTCCAGAGTAACATCATTACTCTTTAGCACTTTGGAGAGGTATGTAACCATAGCTTTCCCCAGAGCAATTTGCCTTTTGATTTCTTGGCTACTGGTAACAAGAGTGTTGACTGTGGATCTGAGCAAGCTGAAATTGCTAATAATCTCAATCTGTAAACCAAATATACGAAGTTTGAATTCACCAGTTGTTGTGTAGGAGAAGGATGGACTATCTCCTCCCAGGCAATTTACTACCTTGGAAAGCCCAATGGAGGGTCAGCTATGGGTCAGTTCTCCACAGTACACAGGAAACAAAGGGGAGAGAAAGGAGCTCTCATAGCAAAGTAAGAAGTTGCACTGTCAACCCTGAGGTACACAGTTCAAATCTACCAGCTACTCCAAGGGAGAAAGAAGGTCAAACTTCCCCTGTGTAGCCTAAAGCCTCTGAAAACCCACTGACGGGGCCAGCAATGAGTTGGTTCTGACTTGACAGTACACGATAAGGCAGAAAGGTACAAAACATGAAGGAGTAAACAAACTCTAGCAGAGTCTTAAAATACACTTGTCACTTCTGTCTGCACGGCCAGGGCATTCCTCCTCATGCCTTGTGAGGCCCCAGGAGCCCCAGCAACAGTAAGAGAAGCCTGAGAGAAGGATCCAGGAAAGCTCAGCTGGGTTTATAAAGCTGGTGTCCACACTTATTTCTCACCCTGCATTTTGTCTGAGCTGGGCAGTAGCACCCCCTGTGTCTAATCCAGTGAGAGTATTTTGCTTTGTTTTACTTATCTTTTATTCATATAACCCAAAAGAACTGCTCTAAATCATCATTAGTCCATTTACTAACCGAAATGCAGCTGAAGTCTTGAAGTTACTTATTCTTCTATGGCTTTGGCAGGGATAAGCGGGATGACGGAGCAGAATGTCAACAAGCAAAGAAACCAAACTGATTTGGCCACTATGATCCTTTATTCTTTTTTTTAACATTTTGCTTCTTCCCACAAAGTCACAATGAGATTGAGTTGAGAGCCTTCGACTACCTACAGCAGCTTTGCCTCGCCCTCCTGCAGCCTGTTTTAGCTGCTGAGACTCTCTTGTGAGAAGGCAGCTCCTTTGGCCTTCACGCAGAAATCTCCTGGTGCCCAGGAACTGCCCTGATGCCTCACCTCTTGCTTTGACCCCCTGACCTCACGGTAGACTCAAACTCAAAATACAGGGCCTAAAAAAAAATAATAAAAAAAAAAAAAAAAAAAAAAACAGTAATGACGAAGAGTAAAGCCCATAGCAGAAAAAAAAAAAAAAAAAAAAAAATACAGGGCCATCCAGCTGGAACCTACTCTGACCTTCCATTGCATTTCTGAGACCATAAATCACAGGGAGATTGCCTATCCTTCTCCCTCGGTGTATTTGAACCAAAGAGGCTCAGCCAGAGCTCCCTCTATCTAGCAATTCTATTATTAAAACAAAAGCTCCTTCTCCAGGATACGCGCACTGTCTGACATAAAATAAGATCTTTTCTCATCTCGCTCCTCAAAACGTTCAAGGTTTTCTCTCCTCATTCCTCAAAACATTCATCTCATTCTTCTAAGCATGTATCATTGCATCCAAACTCCAGTTAAATGTCTAAAGTATGCAGACTCCTTTCAAAAATTTCAAAATCATTCCCACCAAGAGACCCAAGTTTGGGTGATTAGGCTAAAGATCACCAAGTTACACGCAACACAAAATTCATGGGGCCTAGTAACAAGGCAACATCAGTATTAACCTAATGAGGGTGTGTGTGTGTGGGGGGGGTGTTGTGTTCTCCACACAGTCTTTCTGACTGCAGCAGACATGGCCAAACACAGAAACCAGCTTTAATTACTGCTATGCTGGACCCCAAGAATTGATGTTATGGCGGCCTCTAGATTAGCATAAACCTTCTCATATTTCATCCTGGCTCTAGACCCCCACTCTGTCTCAAGCCTTTCAGCATCACACACTATACTCACCTTTGAAAGGGGGTGGGGAAGTGAGAGAATGTAACCACTAATTCAAACCAGAAAAATCTGACTGAAAAAGATTCTGTCTGAAGGACCCCTTCCCTCTGTGAGGATTTTGGTTTGGCTACTTGGCCGGCTGTGGTGGGGGCCAAAAACCCATTTTCTTCACTTAAACAGATAAAACAGTGATGAAATGTGCGTATTTGGCTTTAGATAACTTATTTCTTTCTCTCCCTCCCTCTCTCTCTCTCAGGAAAATAAAACACAGACATGTATGGAGGTGAATGAACAACCAACTTTTAAACCTCACTCGACCAGGGTTGAGTGAATGAAGAGACAGCATCTATGATGAGACACAATCATCAGGTGCTTCTGGCTGCCCTATCCCTGGGAGATGAAACAAATGGGGGGGGGCGGGATTTTGTTGTTTGTTTTTACTTGCTACTCCTCAGATGGTGGTGAAGGGTGGTGATGGACGGAGAGAGAGGATACTTAGCAGGAGTCAAAATAAGATTGGAACAACTGGTGACTTGTCAACAGCACACCTTTAAATAACTGGGTCACAAGCTCACCTAAGTGCAGACAGGCAGAGAACCTGGACGGCACGAAGAGATGAAATATCCACCAGGAGTTAGTGGCCAGCACCAGAGACCACACCCTTGGACCCAATTTAGTTTCCCCAATGAGTTCTCTTCTAAACAGGCCTCTATGAAAATATGGGAAAGACTGGATCCTCTTGAGCTGATGATGGAACTGGGATTTTCAGAACACCACTTATGAATTCTTTCGTCCAAGTAGTTTTAGCAAACCCCAGAGTCTCCCCAAGTTCTAATCTGAAACCTCACAAACTACCCTGTACAACAGGATAGGAAAACCGTAGACTTTGCCTGTGTCTGACACTTCTCAGACACAAAGCATCACTTTTTGGAGCAGAAAGTTTCTTCTGCCTGGAAACCGTGCATTCGGGAAGCTGAAAAAGTTGAAGAATGGGGACACCTAGAAGGGTACATCTGGAGGGGCTAGGACCCAAGTGTTCCTGCAGGAGGGAATATCTCCAGAGGCCATCCCACCTCCTCCATTCACCTAGCCTGGCCTCCCGCCTACTGGAGACGTTCCCCCTTCCCCCGACCCGCTCCTATGGAGGTGGGCCGGGGACTTGCCCCTTCCTTTTGGACCCTGAACTCACCCACCGCCCTGATGCGGAAGCCGCGCGGGGGGCGCAGCGCCCGGCGCCGCCACGCGTCTCGCAGCACCTGCAAGCTGGCGGGGGGCGCGCGCACCAGCAGCACCCCGAGCCGGAGCCAGCCCAAGAAGGTCAGCCGCGAGGCGGCGCGCGCCAGCCGTGCGTTCCAGAAGCAGCGCGCGTTGGCGCGGCAGAAGGCTCGGAAGACCGCGCGCCCGCTGGGCTCCTCGGGGTCTCCGGCTGCCGCCGCGCCCTCCTGAGATTCAAGTCGGCACAGCACCAGCGCCAGGGAACCGGGGGCCAGCTGCATGGGCCGTGCCATGCTGGCGCGCGCGGCCAGAGCCCACAGCCGAGCGCGTCGTCGGCGCGGCGGCCGCGCGGCACAAGGCGGCTCGGGCTTCGCTCGCCAGGCGGGCGGGAGCGACTTGCTGCGCGCGGCGCTGCTGCCGGGGAACGGGGTACGGGGGGCGGGGCCGGCTGCGCTCCAAGGGGCCGGGGCTTGGGGGTTGGGCGGGACTCAGGACCGGGTTGGTGGCCGCTGCACTCGCGGTGAGGCGCTGCAAAGGGGTTTCCCGGTGCTGAGTTATTGGCTTTATACTCCACTCCCCGGCTAAGTCTCTGTCGTCTACCCCATAGAGTCCCTGAATATTTCTCCCTCTCCAGTATCCCGGAGCTCCTTCCTCTGTCTGGCCCACACTGGGATGTTTCCAGATCCTCAACCCTCCAGAGAGCCGAGCCAAGCTTAATACACGCTACACCAGGGCTCCTCAAATTATTGTTGTTATTGTTGTTGTTAGGTGTCATTGAGTAGACCCTATAAAAAGTAGATCTGAATCCTGTACGATCCTGTGCCATCCTCATCATCTCCATGTGCTTGAACCCACTGCAGCAGTCACTGTGTCAGTGCTTCTCATTGAGGATCTTCCCCTCTTCCGCTGACCCTCCCACTTTCCAAGAAACAGCCCTTCATAACAATATGCCCAAGAATTTATGCATTGTTGAAGAGTGCTGAATGTATCCTATGGATTGTCAAGAGAACATTTTCTGTATGTTGTTATTAGGTGCCATTGAGTCCAGTACAACTGGACCCTGTGAATAGCAGATCTGAGTCCTGCACTATCCTGTACTGACCTCATAATTTCTTGACACCCTCAAGCTGCAGTCACTGTGTCAGTCCACCAGGTTGAGGGTCTTCCTCTCCTTTGCATCACCTTTCCAAGCGTGATGTCCTTCTCCAAGGAATAGCCTCTCCTAGCAACATGCCCAGGTATGTGAGACGAAACTTTCCCATCCTTGCCTCTAAAGACCACTCTGGCAGCACCTTCTCCAAGACATATTTATTTGTTCTGTTGGCTGTCCATGGCATATTTAATACTCTTCTTCAACACCACAGTTCAAAGGCATCAAGCATAGCAAGGGATTGAAAAGACCATGACTTGAATTGAGCACACCTTAGCCCTCAAAACTATCTCAGTAATTTAGAGAGGTTCCTGAATGCAGACTTGCCCAGTACAATATGTCTTCTGATCTCTTCACTGCTGGGACCAAGTGTATTGATTGTGGATTCAAGTAAAATGAAGTTGTTGACAGTTTCAATCTTTTCTCCATCTATCATGATGTTGCATCAGTCATGATAGGTGAGAAATTTTGTTTTCTTGACGTTGAGATGCAATTCATATTGAAGGCTGCAGCATTTGATCTTCTGCAGCAAGTGTTTCAAATCCTCCTTACTTTCAGCAAGCAAAGTTGTGTCATCTGCATACCGAAGATTATTGATTCGTCTACCTCCAATCATGACATCACATTCTTCTTGGTAGAGTACAGCTTCTCAAATAATTTTCTTATATTGAATAGGTGTGGAGAAACACTATAACCCTGACACACACTCCCTTGCTCTGTTCACACAACAGCTTCTTGGTCTAGGACATGTTAGGAAAAGCTATTCCTTGGAGAAGGACATATGCTTGGAAAGGTGGAGGGTCAGTGAAATAAAGCAAGATCCTCAAGGAGATGGATTGATGCTGTACTGCAGCAATAAATGTGTAGGGATGATAAGGATGGCACAGGATAGGACAGAGTTCAGATCTATTATTCGTGTGGTCTTGATGAGCCGTTATCTATTGCCCTGCACTTAACAACAACATACCCAAAATATATGAGAAAAACTTCACATCCTTGCCTCCAAGAAGCACTCTGACTGCACTTTGTTCTTTTGACAGTCTATGGGACATTCTGCACTCATACCTCAAAGGCATTGATCGATTCTTTTTATGTCATCCTTATTTGTTGTCCAGCTCTCAGATGCATAGCAAGTGATTGAAAAGATAGGCTTGGGTTAAATTTCACAATTGTGCAACTATTATTATTCCTTTTTTTTTTTTTTTACTTTTTACTAAATTAGGAAATCACAGCCAAGTAGCATAAAAAACTGTTTTTGTTTTCTTTGTTTGCTTGGTTTTTAAAAAAAAAAGTTTTCAGATCACATAGTAAAAAAATAGAACCAGATAGACAGTAAAATCATTCTTTCTTTATATCAAAGAAGTCTTACTTACATTTTAAACGTAAATAAGCATGCAACCTGAGACTAGGCTCTCACATCTGAATTCTAATCTTAAGATCAGTTCAACTCATTGCTGCCATATAAAAACCAACTCATGGCTGACCCTTCAGCGGATCTTCTGAGGCTGTAAATCCCACAGGGGGTGATTGAAGAGTGGCTGGTAATAGGTACTGCCAGGGAGGCACCACCTTTCGGTTATCTGAGCTACTCCCTCTTCTAAGATTTTAAGATGGATGGAAAAACACTGCGCAAGGTCTGAATGAAAGAAAACAAACAAACAAAAAGCTTCCTATGCCTATGTCATTTCCACCAGAAGGTCAAGTTTCTTCTCTGGACTCTGTCATGGCATTCATCTTGCCTGGTTAAGGATGATTTTCCTATGTTCTGCATCCTGGAGAACCCCAACTTTTATCTCCTTATAGTGCCTTTTCCATAACAATACTTTCATTTACTCTTAGCTTACAATGTGCTTGAAACCTTGCTAAGGGTTTTACATGAGTGGTCTAGTTTTAACCTCAGAATAATCCTTTGAAGTGGGTACCATTACTCAGTACATCTTCACAAAGCAATAAAGGCTTAGAGAGTTTAGGCAGTTTGCCCCTGAGGACAAAGTTAGTAGTAGATGGTGAAGCATAGATCCCAATGTCTCCTTGCCCCCGCATCTAGCTGGAGTGGGAGGACAGGAGACAATCGTCTGGTGTGAAAAATCTTAAAAGTTGATCCTCTCACATAAGAATTTAAATTGGGAAATGCACAGAAATAATCAGACGTGTGTAGCTGCAACGATACTGTGATGTAGAATCTGATAATAATGAGGTATCGTGTCCTAAAAAGGTGGTGGTATTGGTTGCTAGCAAGTCAATTTCAACTCGTAGCAGATCACATGAACTAACTCATGGGGTTTTTCTTGGCAGTAATTTTTATGGAGGCGGATTGCTAGATCTTTCTCCCACAAGGCTGCTGGGTGAGTTTGAACGATCAGCCTTTTACTCAGTAACTAAATGCACCACCAGGGTTCCTTCCCTTGTGCTGAAATGGTAAGGTCCTAAGCGGTGGAATCTCTGCTTGGATTGTGGAATTTTCCCCTTACAGCTTTACTTAAGTCAGCCCAGTTAACGAAGATCAATATCGTCTCATTGTCATCGAGTCAGAACTGACTCGGAGCTGATGCTCCAGTGGGTGTTTGGAGGCTGTAAATTGTATGGGAGGAAAGCGGGGGAGATACCAAGATCAAGAAGGTGGTTTTCCTAGGGAGAGGCTTATCCGTTGCCCTCCAGATGTGCTGATTCCTGTGATTTCCCTAACTGTGGGAAAGTCAACTGCATACTTTTTGGTAGTGGGGGACTGTGTTCACCCTCCCCTAAAACAAAAAACAAAACAAAATAAAAGGAAGGAAAAAGTTGCATGAGAAAAGATTACCCATCTTTTGCCAGTGGAGATACTGGTGAATTTGAACCTCCAGAGAGGTGTCACCTGTGGGTGTGCAGCTCAGCTTTATAAGGACTGCCCACCAGAGCACCTTGTCAACAAAGAAGGTCTAAAGAATGTAACTACAAGGAGAAAAAACTTGCGAGTCCAAGGTAAAGCTAAAGTCCAATTCTGGTTCACTCAAACACACACCCAAATTCTCAATCTCTTATAAAATGGAGCATGTCTTAAAAGGAAACTGTAGGTGTCCAACTGGAATGGTCTTATATTAGAGGAGAGAAACAGGCACTGTTCTCGGGCCTTTCACCTTTGTGGTTTCCATAGAGCAGGCACAGTAAAATGTTAGAGACCAAATTGGTCATTAGTTCCACATTGAGAGGCACATGAGCAATCCAATTATATTTGAGCTAACTCAACTTGATGTCGGGTCAGAACAAACTCTTAGCTGACCCTCCAGCAAGTTTTCACTTGTCCACAAATTTTCACAGCTCCCCAGGCTTGTTTTTCATCTTGAAACAATTGCTTAAAGCATGGAGGTTTGGTTTTAATCCTTTAACAATGCATCTTTACAGTTGATTATATTATTACTACTGGCTGTGTCTAAAGGTGACAGTGATCACAAAGAGCAAGGACATGCTCAATCTGAAGGTAAATGCTGCTTCACGTTGCTCAGGATCAGTCACATCATGTATTACATAATTAGTGTGATATGGGGTGTCTTAGGTGGTCAATGAGAACTTAAGAGGTTATACCTGATCTGTCCAACATGAATAGCAAAATGCAATTTCTATCATATTGTTGTTGTGTACCATTGAATCAGAACTGATCCAGAGCTGACTCTCTGACGGGTTTTCAGAGGCAGTAAATCACACAGAAGGAGATTGCTCATCCTTCTCCTGTACGGCAGCTATTGGATTCCAACCATAATCCTTCGGGATTGCAACACAGCTTCTTGCCACTAAGCCACCACAGTTATTAAATCGTCCCAGTTACATTTAGTGCCCTGCCAGTTTCCTTCCACTGCAGCACTCACTTCTTATGTCCTGTCTGCTTGGCATCTATGCTCTTAAAAACTGTGTTCCTGGTGAACTCTGGTTGCCTAGTGGCAAGAAGCTGCACAGCAATCCAGAGGTACATGGTTCAAATCCACCAGATGCTTTGCTGAAAAAGGTGGAACAATTTCCTCCTGTACCAGTCAGATCTGATTTGACAGTACACACACACAAACAAGAAAATAAAATAAAATTTAAAAAACAAAAACTGTGTTCCTGTTGTTGATGCTCTAAATTCTAAGTCTGCTTATTGGACAGTCTATCCAATATAACTATTGTTTA